GAGTGGCAGTCCCACCTCCCATTGTCACCTAAAGCTCTGTTTCTGGGCCACATTGCTGTTTTCTTTCCTTGGAGTGGAAAACAACATCCCAGGAGGGCCTTTTTCACCTCAAGCAAGCATATTTTCCACCAGCCCTCACTAGCGCGCCATGTCCCGAAGGGGCCTGGGTGCCGGAGGTGGGTGTTGCTCAAACTTATTTCCCTATAACTCACTGGGTCTTCCTCTGTGGAGTTCCACCTCCTGAATAGCACAGGAGGGGAAAGCCCATGGTATTATAACAGAAATTAGTGAGACAAGAGTTAGGCTCCTATTGGGTGGTAAGGATAGTGGCTCCAAAATGGAGTTGGGAAGCTCAGAAAGGAGTCTGCAGAGTCCCCTCTCTCCAGAGGCCTCACAAAACATCTGGCAGGTATCCTGTGGCTGTCAGGGTCCTCCCCAGAGCATGGTCAGCCAGGTTATTGGCTCCAGGGCGCTTGGGCCCGGCACGAACACTGTGTGAACACCGCATAGACTGGACCTTAAAAAGTATCGAGTCTCCTCCGGGGTAGAGATTATATCACTTACACAGTGGCCTGAGCACCCTTCTAAATTCCTTAAAAACCCTAGACAAAGAGCCCTGGTGGGTATCCTATTCAGAGCCCTTCCTCCCCTGGCTAGTGGGAGCTTTACTTTTTTACCTTTGTATCTCTTAAATAAATTTGCTGGCCCCCTACCTCCTTCATCCATGGTTTCATTCCTCACCCCTGTGGGACATGACAGCGGCATTCCAGTAACAACATCCACCTGGGAAACGCAGTCTGATGCAACGAGTCCAGCAGTCCCCTGGGTCTCCTTAGGTGAAGGCCTCAGAGCCCTTCCTTCCTTCTCAGCTCTCTCCAAGACGGATCTGCAGGAGGGGCCGTGTCTTACTGTCTTCTGTTGTGGCACAGGAGGCTGCCTCTCAGATTCCACGGGGGCCACTGAAGGTCCCCTAGGTCCCCTGCAGGGCCCTCCCTGGCCTCCCCTTGAGAGCAGCAGGCAGAGGGGTGGTGGCCCTGTCCCCAAGTGCTTGTCTGGCAGCCCCTGCTGAAGTCCACAGCCTGTGTACCTTGTGGTTTGGGGGCTCTGTGCTTCTCCAGGGCTCTGCACCCCGCCTTCTGAGGCTCCCTCTGCCAGCCCCTAAGCCAGCCTCCAAGGGCCCCTGCTCCCTCCAGGGTCCTAAAGCCGATGATCCGCATGTGCTGTGTCAACCCCTAGTCCCTTCTCATGCCCTGTAGCTGTGGTGGACAACTCCATGGACGATGACTTGTCCCCCCGCGAGGGGCAATGGCAGTGGCTTCTGCTTTTCTACTCCAGATGTTTCTTGAGGCAGAGTAGTCTGCACAGACCAGGAAGTAAGAGGAGGTCAGCTGCCCAGGAGCAACCCTAGAAGCTGGGGACAAGAGTCAGCCAAGAATAGTCCCACCAGTCCTCTGACCTTCGGAGAGGATGATGCTGAGGTGTATTCTGTACAGTTCCTCAGGAGGCCCCTGGAGTTGAGTCCCAATTGCCCACAGCACCGTTAATGCACCTCATTTCTCACTCCTATCCCATCCCTCATTCTTGCTTTCTGGGTCCTTCTCCTGGGTTTTGCTTCCCAGCATGCTCTGAGCCAGGCCCCATGAAAGGTGGGGGCTCACAACTCAGCCGTGCTGTGTTGTACAGATTGTGGTGACCCCAGGCCTCTCTCTGTATAATCATGGTGCCCACTAAGTTGACTCGAGTGAGGCTGCCCCTTTGCTAGGTTAGTACTGCAGAGCAGGGGAGAGGGACCTGGCAGCCATTCTGTAATTTTTTGTGTTTTGTTTTGTTTTTTTTCCCTGTACCAGGAATCGAACTCACGACCTTGCTCTTGCCAGGCAGGCGCTGTGCTGCTGAGCTAAATCCCCAGCCCCTTGTGATCTTTTATTCTATCCCCAGAACTCCCCCTAACCCATCAAGGAATTTCTTCTCCAGGGCCAAAGCTCAAAGCTCAAAGGATCAAAGGGAAGATGCAGTATCCTGACTTCCTGTCACCCCCCCACTTCCTTCCTCTTCTGGAACCCACTGGGACCTGACAGAAGAGGGGCTTTGGTCCGCTCAGGGCTCCTTTGCCTGTCCTCTCCCAAGGCACCCAGCAGGGCCCTCACCTAGAGGCCAGGCCTACTCTCCACATGTTACAATGACAGAAGTTGTTTTCCTGGCTGTGCTCCATATTCCTCCCACTGTTTTGCTAACCAGAAGAAGAAAGTCAGCTTTGGAGCATCAAGCTCATCAGCAGCCTCTTGCTCTCTCTCTGGCCCTGTGCTGACCCGCTCTGGAAGCACTAGTTACATGTGACTGTTGAGAACTTGAAATGTGGCTGGTGCCCCGGATGAATTCCATTTGTAAGTTGATTCATAACTAAAGATAAAGTTTATAGCTGGACATGGTGGCACACACCTGTAATCTCAGCACTTTGGGAGGCTGAGGCAGGAAGACTGCGAATTCAAGTCCATCTTGGGGAATGCAGTGACTTAGCAAGACGGAGTCTCAAAATTTAGGGAAAAGAAGGACTGGTTGTAGCTCAGTGCAGAAGCCCTGGGTTCAATTCCCACTAAAAAAAAGGATACACTGATAGTCTGCAGAAAAGGGAAAAACTCAAGGTATTTTTAGGAAAGTAGATGCACTTTGAGACCATAATCTTAAGTAAAATAAGTCAGACACAAGGTTTTTAAAAATTTTTTTATTATTATTTTTTGCTCTTTTTGAGACAGGGTTTTGCCATGCAGTTCAGGCTGACCTTGAGCTCACTTTGTAGCCCCGGCTGGTCTCAAACTCACAATGATCCTCCTGCCTCAGTCTCCCTAGTGCTGGGATTACAGGCGTGCACCATCATGCCCAGCAGACCCAAGTTTAAATATCGCATTGTTTCTCTTGTGTGAGAACCCAAAGTAAATAAAGAGCCAAATGGAGTCTAGATATTAGGAAGTTGAAAGAAGTTACTCAAATGGTGAGGGAATAAGGGTTGGGGTAGTGGAGAGGGAAGGAAGGGAAAAGGGATTTAAGGGGAAAAACAGGATTGAAGAAAAACAGAGCTTTTGTAAGTGGGCAGGGGAAGGGGACAAAAAAGAGTTAAGATGTGTTATGTACATGTCCAAATCTCTTATGGTGAACATGACCTAATAAATATATATGTATGTATGTATGTGTGTGTGTGTGTATATATATATATATATATATATTTTTTTTTTTTCAACAGGATCTCACTATGTAGGCTGGCCCTGAACTCATTTGTGTAGCCCAGGCTGGCCTATAACTCACAGCAATCCTCCTGCCTCAGCCTCCTGAGTGTTGGGATTATAGGTGTGTGCCACCATGCCTAGCCTAAAATATATTTTTAAAATGTATACACTGATACTTGATTCAGTTACTGGGAAAGTTTTAAGTATGTTTGGAATAAATTGCATATGTGAACCTGTTTTTTCAACTAGAAGTTTTATAAAATCTGCCTACAGACCAAGTATTTGGAGGAAAATTTAACAGTCTGAATTGAGGTGCAGAAGGAGAAATAATATACTGGATTTCAGCCTTCATATAAAAACAGAACTAAAATACCTCATGAGTAATTCCTTTATATTATTACATGTTGAAATGATAATTTTTAAATATACTTTTTAAATATACTTTTTATCAAGGTTAATTTTACCTTTTTCTTTTTACCATTTTTATTGTGGCTACGAGAAAGTTACTTGTACCTGTCGCTCTCATATGCAGTTTTTTGAGGGGGGCGGTGTTGGTTTTCTTTTTTGCAGTGCTGGGAATCAAGCTCAGGGCTTTGTGAGTGTTAGGCAAGAGCTCTCCTATTGAGCTATGCCTGCAGTCCTTCTTTTTATTAATTGATTAATTGATTGATTGAGATAAGGTTTTTCTGTGTTGCTCAGGCTGGTTTCCCACTGCTGGCTCAAGTGATCATCCTGCCTCTGCCTCCCAAATGGCCGGGACTACAGGTGTACACTACTGTGCCTGGCTTTGTCATCTTTCTCACCCGAGTACCTTTAGCCACTGTTTACCTGTCTGCTTCCCTGCGCGTGAGTGCCCTGGTCTGTCCCTGAAGGTGGAAGCCTGCTGGAAAACACAGTTTAAGGGTGGTCTTTAATGTATCTGTTTTGTATTTGCAAATATTATCTCCATCTCAGATGTACTGGTCCCAGCCAGCCTTGAAGGACAAGGGGGATTCCTTTCTCCTCTATATGGAGAAGCGGATGAACAGCAAGATGTTTTTCAATGTCTTGGATCAATGGATCCATCAGTCAGTGTATTCAACAAGATGGAGAATATAAGTAGGGAGAACTGTGTTTGATTTTAAACTGGGCCGAGGCTCAGTGCTCCTGGCATCCCAGTTTGGATGGTGGGGCCCATCTGTGGCCCTGGAGGATGGTCACAGCATGGTTCCCTGATTTAAGCTAAGCCGCTGAGCTGCTCTCCAGGGACCCCGAGACGGAGGCAGGGATTTTTGGACAGCAGTTCCCGGCTGTCCTGAACAGCAGCACTCCAAGCCCCAGTGACAGAGCTCATGGCTCCCTTTGCTGAGTGTGCGGGAGACAGGGAAGGCCTCTCTAGGAGAGAAGACAGAGCCCCTCAGAGAAGGCTTCCTGGGGTACTGGAAGCCCTGCAGGCTCTGGGCAGGCTTCCCCCTGAGCTCTCCCTGCAGTTCTGCCCCGAGGAAAAGAAAAAAAACACCCTCCCTTCCCCCAGGGTCTTCCTGTTACCTGCCACAGGCAGAAGCTTAAGAAATAGGAACAGTGGCTCCGGAGCGGGGAAATTAATGGGAGACGTTTGTGTTTATATCCAAAGAGGAAAGAACCAAATTTATTTCCTCATTCTCAATACCAAGAGCTGATCAGTGGCTTCCTTGTTCGGGTAGCTGACAGTTCTCAGCACCATCCGCAGCTGCGTTTTGGGTTCAACAGACTTTTGTGGCTGGCCTGGGAAGCAGATCCCCATTTATAACATTGTTTCTAAGGGAGACACATTCCAAGATCCAAACAATGAATTTGGTAAAGAATGTTCGGCTTCCAGGCGGATGAGCTGGTCGGGCTGTATCTCGGGGGCTGGCCGCGCATTCACAGCCTGCTTTCCACTTGGTGAGGCGACCCTCTCTGCAGGGTGGGGGTACGTGGGAGTAGGGAGAGTCCTAGTAAAAGGATCGGGATCCGTGGCCGGGGTGCTCAAGCCCCCTCCCCAGAGGCCCTAGGAGGTCCAGGGTTGGCGGGGAAGGGGAGGTGAGAGATGGACAAAGAAACTTGTCCTCCTTCATATTGCTGTCACGTCCTTCAGCCCGCGGAAAGGAAGGGGCCCGCTTAGCCCCTGCCCGGCTCAAAACCTTTTGTGAATGAGCCAGGGTGTTGCAGGGGTGGGGGCAACCTCAAACCCACAAAACTGCATATCCTCTGCACGGGGAATCCGGGCGCTCTAGGTGGGTTTGGGAGTGACTGTCACAGCGCCAGGCGAGCCGAAGACAGTGGCCGGGGACGAGAGGCCACAGCTCATCCCCTCTTCGCTCCTGCCCTCCTCGCCTCCCTCGACCCAGAAGAATCTGGCAGCGGGCGCGGAGACCCTCGCGCTGGAAGGGGACGCAGCATTGTCTAGGAGGGCGGAGAGAAGCTCCGCCCCGAGGGAGGGGCAGGGGAGGGGAGGAAGAAAGGCGAGAGGAGAAGGGTGGGGAGAGATGGAGAGCGAGAGACAGAGGAGAGAGGACAGTCCGACCCGGTAGGGCTGATAAAGGCGAAGAGGCGGGAGGCAGGATGGAGGGGCTGAGGGGCGCAGGAGGGCGGGGCGCGGACCCCCAACCCCGGGGGCGGCCCAGCCTACCCGGATTGAGCGCAGCCGGGAGATCGCTGGCCCAGCCCGGCCCCGCTTTGGCGCCCCCGCTTTCCAACTCTACGGAGTCTGCTGCGCGAGCTGGGCGCCGGGCGCAGGCGGGGCCCGGGGCGCAGGCAGGACGCGGGGCACTGGCGCGCAATGCTGGGCGCAAGGTGCCGGCACCCGGCGGTCCTCTTCCCCGCGTCCCTTCGCCTTGCCCAAAGTTTTCCCGCGGCGCCCGTGCGGGCCCGGGCCGCTGTCTCCTCCCGAGCGGGTCCCGTCTCCTCTCCCCCAGCCGCCGGGATCCCCGGGAGTGCTGACGCCCCAAGGGCCTCCGGGGCGCGGGGTCCCGGCGTGCCCGCCTTGCGGCTCAAGAAAGTTGCGCCTCGGAGCTCACCCTCCGCCTCCAGCCCTGGGGTTCTTGCTTTCCTCTGCGCCCCGGCTGGCGGCGGGAAGGTGCCCGCGCCCCACACGCACGGTCTCAGGGCTCCCTGGCGAGGCGGGTCGAGCAGCAGGTGCGGGGGTGAGCAGGCCGCGACACCCCGAGAGTGTCCGTGCCAATCCGCCCCCTTTCTCCCGGGGTGATGGACAGTCCCGAGGCCGTCCGCGTCCCCGGAGCCACGTGGGGACGCGGGCGCTTCCTCGCCGCGCTGCGGTCTCGGGCTGTGTCCGGAGCCGGGCTGAGGTCGCCGAGGACCTAGCTTTGCGCGCTCTCGCGCCGGAAAGAGGCAGGTGCAGTAGGCGGCAGGGCCACTTCTGCATTTCTATTGCTTACTCTGCACTCAGCTCAACCCGGAGAGACTTGGGGACCGCAGACAGTGGCGCTGGTCTGACAGGGAGGCCCAGAGTTCTGTTTCACGTCTGGGGTGCTGTGTGGGTTGTGGATCCTCCACAGCACCCGTGCGCCGCGGGGACAAGCTGAGCGCCAGGCTTCTCAATCTGCTGTGTGCACTTTATTCCCAGGAGGCTGCCGCCCAGGGGACAGGAACGCATTTGCAGAGGCCGTGTCCACAGTGGGCCGGGGCTATAGTAAGTACCTTACATATGATGAGTGAGTGTGTAAAGGAATGCGCTGACAGTTTGTCACAGGGCAGTCTCGGTTCTGGCCACAATTGGTCCTGGGACAATGACAGGAAAGAAACTGGGATTCCTCTCAACCGCCAGAGACCGGCCAGGACCTTCTTTCCGAAGCCTGTGAGTGAGGAGTCTGAAGTCGGGGCTGTTTTAGGTTTCCACCCACATTTGCTTACCGGAAACTTTTCTTGCAGGTGACCTGAGGGCTGAGCAAAGCAAAGCCTGGCTGAGATGCGTGGGTTGGGGAGTGTGCTGTGCTGGCTTCCGGCTGCCGTTTGGGCTTAGAGAGCCTGGATTAGGGCCAAGAGTGTGGCTGTGTTTTGGACAGAGGATTTCTTCTCGCCCTGGGGGAAGGCGCTGGCGGTGTGTGAGGTGCACTTGGGCCCTTGGAGATGTGGGCTGGTACAGTCTCGGATTCTTCATTCTAGGGAGCCTGGCAGGAGAGACTATTCCTCCTTTAGCTAATGAAGAGCAGAGGTAGATTGGGGAGACAGGATAAAGCTTGGAGTATAGCTAGACATAACCCAAGGACCCCACCACCCTCCTCCTTATGATACTGAAATCCCATTAGAAGGGCGACAGGTGACTTGGAGGAGCCCGCTGAGAGGAGGCCAGGGGAGGGGGGTTCCCCTGCTGGACATTGCTGTACCTGCACCTGCTGTGTCTAGCTGGCCTCAGCCTCATCTTCCTGAGGTGCTCTCCCCTCATCCCTGGGGCTCCACAGTTCCAATCTGCATCCCCATGTGGCTTCCCTTGGGAGGTCCAGGCCTGCTCCCCAGTTTGCACAAGGGAGCCAGCATAGCGGGGCAGAGGACCTTACACCAAGTTTTAGCCTCCTCCTCACTCTGCAGTGCCCTGGCCACCAACGGCATCTCCACGGGCTTGGCCTCGTTCCTGGGCCTATGTGCTGTGCCCAGAGCCCTCAGCCTTCGGGTCCACACTCTGGCCATGGAGGCTGGCTGGTGAGCTACCCCTGTGTCCTCAGCTGCCCCACAGGGCTGGGCTGTGGGGTTGGTGGGAAAGGGACCCATCATCAAGGCACAAAAGCTCTTGGGCTTGATTATACTTTTGATCCTGTTTGGGCCACTTTGTCAGGAAGTGTCCTCACTGCCTGGGACCTGGGGGTGTAGAGGCAGGGCCAGGTCGCCCTGAGAGTTTACTAAGAGGCTTGGAGATGCACGGTGATAGGAATGTACACAGTGTCCAGTCTCTGTCCTCCAGTCATGGCTACCCAGAGCTGCCCCTGCTGAGTTTATAAATCTGGGTAGCAGACCCTCTTGCCACCTCCTCCTCCTCCTGCCACTCTTAAATTATGTATCCCAGTGACACCCTGTCTTATTTAAATACCTCTCTGCCTTTCGGAAGAATGTTCACAAGTCCTTAAAGTGGGGCAAGCTCCCACAGCTTTCGGTCACTAATTTTGTTTATTTGGCCTGCTTGTGGGTTTCCATGGAGGATGCAGCCTTTGGAGGGTGTGGATCAGTGGGTGGGGAAGGGGTACAGTAAACGGGGACATCCCTAGACTGCAGGCTGAGCCCCCCCGTGGGTCATTCTCTATGGTCCCTGGGATGACAGACCAAGCCTGTAATAGAAAGCCGATGTAGCTGTTTGGGATAATAGCCTGGGACGGCAGGACTCTGCCTAAGGCAACCATGGCTGAACAGAGAGGAAAATCTCACAGAGGTCAGAGAGCTGAAAGGGGACCTGCCAGGCCGATGGGCAAAGTGACTTAGAAGGGCTGCTTTTCCTTCTATTGATAAAACTTGGCAAAGAGATTCCTGTGCTTTCTTTGTTTTCTTTTTTTTTTTTTTTTTTTTTTTTTTTTTTTCGGTACCGGGAACCAAACTCACGACCTTGCGCTTGCCAGGC